AGACCTGCATGTTTGCCGAAGTACAACATTGGTGTTTTATCATTGAAATGGATCCACTCAACATATAATGAAATCAAAATTTGGTCTCCGTGGGGGGGAAACGAAACTTGCTTTCCAGCTTCATTCTCGCGAGTGGCTGATGGCCTATTATTATATCTTGCTTAAACGACAATAATCAAAGCATTTACGACGCAATATAAGCTCCACACCTAATTTTACGAATTTTAGTTATCACGGCTGTCTGACTGTACGTAGGAAATCTACCACTCTGGAGACTATTACGTATCCGCCCCCGTAGAAATTTTGCTAGATTGGATATAAATAATTATGAAATAAACCAAGACGAATTCCACGTAAACTCCTAGGAGTACTATAAACTCAGTTTCAGGCCAATTAAATTCGATAAAATGACTCAGGGCCTCTTTTAACATATAGACTGCGGGGACATGTCCCCCCCCAGCCCTCCTAGTGGCCCCTCCAGTCAGCAATTTTGTCCCACCCCCTCAGTGCAAGGTCCCTAAGAACTATCTGCAGCAGGTGGTCAACCAGCAATTGTATATCAAAGTGAGAAAATGATGTTATAAGCTGTTAACATTTCTGAATTTGACCATCATCTACAGGTCCATAACTAGCTATGAGTCAACCGAGTCAGTTGCATGCCTCGGTAGGAATTTTGGGGACTGAAATTTAAACATCGCCAGAAACGAAACCATGGCTGAAATAATTTGCTCGTGGAAAAAGGCATGAAATGGCATTTTAGGTTCTAGTTTAGTTTTTCCAAGCAAAGAAACTCCAAAGAGGCCACCCTATCGTGCTCTTCAGTGACACTGAGAAGCGAATGCGTCGATATCAAGTACCCCAATACATGTAATACAGTACTGTAAAATTTGAAGTGTGGTGAATGATAATACTATACCACGCACATTTTCATTACCGCCATCATCACATCATGTTGCCTTATTGGGACTGGATTACATTTGGGAGATTGTAAAATCGCAGTAATTATGCCACTGTATATAAAGTTAATTTCTTGTTGGAACACTCCTCAAAATGCTGGAAATAGCCTATCTGAGCTTCAAATTCTGGTGTATGTTTACACTTTACACTTTACACTATCATGGTGTTATCACATACACCAGAATTAGCTAGGTACATTTACACCGTTTGAGGGTATGTTTACAGCATAATAGGTGTTAATACTTCGTTTAATGTTCTACTTTACACCAGATCAGTGTATCTTAAAATCGTCTAGTGTAATTATACACCAGGTTCAGTGTAGATTTGCACGACGTAAGCATTCATAGTTTTTACATCATAACGGTGTATATTTACACAATCATGGTGTTATCTCATACACAAGAATAGGCTAAATTTACACCGTTTGAGGGTAAATTTACACCAAAAAGGTGTTAATACTTCGGTTTCTACTTTACACCAGATCAGTGTATCTTAAAATAGTCTTAGCTAGTGTAATTATACACCAGGTACAGTGTAGATTTACACTAAGTAAGCAATCATAATTTTTACGCCACTCCGGTGTATATTTACACTATCATGGTGTTATCCCATACACAAGAATTGGGTAAATTTACACTTGTTAAGGGTAAATTTACACTGCAATAATAGAGAATACATTAGTTTCTACTTCACCTCAGCTCCGTGTAGTTTAACGCGTTCTAGGTGTAATGATACACCAGGAAAAGTGTAAATTTACACTTCGCAAGTGTTGGTATACTTTACACCGAATAAGTGTATATTTACACTATCGCAATGTGTAAATTAACAGGGAAAGAGGTAATGTTACACCGTTCTAATGTAAATCTACACCGAATTACGTGTAAATAAAATATTTTCTACTTTACACCTAGTAAGTGTTACCGAGACACTAAAATAGTGTAAAGTTACACTGTGGAAGTGTAATGTTACACCCGAACGGTGTTTAATTCCGCGTTACACCTAATTAGTGTAATGTTACACCTTTTTGGTGTTGCCGCAACACCGCGAGATTTACAGTGTACGTATTGAATTATTTGAATGCTGATTAAAAAATTCTATTGCTAAAAATTCGAACGGGTGAAAACATATTCATTTCACAGATCTAAGGCTTGTATACTTTAATTTAGGGTATTATAATTAGTTGCGGTAGTTATATCATGTGTTTATAAAATGCTCCGCCGTCCGCCGTCTGTCGTCCGCCGTCCGTTGTCCGCCGTCCCCACTCCCCAGTAAAAATTAATGCATTGTCAGCATTTTTAGCTGCAGCAATGCACTTTAAAGGTGGAGTAGCCTGCGTAGCGGCCCTCGTGGAAAGGACAGCCTTCACGAAACCCCATGCTTTGCCGTATTTACCAGTCGTTCTCTCAGAGGACGAGAAATCTAATTGGTTCAGAAATCGAGAAATCTAATTGATTATGCTAAAATGATGAACAAACACAGCGGATGCATTATTGAGTCGAAAGGTGTTTCTTTGAGTTTTTGCATTCAAAAGAGCTTATCATGAAAAAAAATCTATTTGTCGTCGATGAAAACGAACACGCTCGTGAAAGAGACGCTGCTAACAGACAGCAATCCAACGATGGCCTGATTTACGGTTGAACAATAAAGGTATTTACGAATTTTGTTCATGAAACTCTAGAGATGTTGGCTGTGGTGTCTTCGTTGGATTGCTGTCGGTTAGAAGCGTCTCTTTCGCGAGCGTGTTCGTTTTCATCGACGACAAATAGATTTTTTCTTCATGATTTTGTAGCCAATAATTTTGTGCCAGGAGAGAATTGATGTGAAGGCTTATGTCTTATGAACAGGACTTGCTCTCTCTGGAGTGACGGCCTCAGACACCTTTCTCTTTCCTGCATTGCTCGAAACTTTAACATTTAATACTTCACGGTTGAGCGCTGTCGAAACTAATTATATTTGTACGTATCTACGATATTTCGTAGCTTTTTTGCACACGGACTGCAAACTACTTGTGGCAACGATAGAGATTGCCCTAGGTCTGGCGCTATTCCTACAGACTTCAATTTTCTTTAGCCGAAATCCGTATATCTTTTTGACATCTGTTGAATATAGACGTAGCCCGCTGGCTGAGTGGACGGAAATGGCTAAGCATGGGGTTATGTGCAGGCTCTCCTTTCCCTGAGAGCGGCTACGCAAGCTAAAGGTGGAGTAATACGGTCAACAAAAATTGCTGCAACTTGGAACAAAATATGATTTCAACGCATGTTAACTGAAAATGTTGACACAAACATTACAAATCACGAGGCAACATGTGTCAACATTTTTATTTAACATGCGTTGAAGTCAGATTTTGTTGCAAATTGCAGCCATTTTATTGCTCGTATTACTTCAGTTTGGCTTGTCCCAGAGCTTACGGCAACGCAAGCAGCCGAGAAGCCTTGGGAACGAGGATGGATGCAAAATGACTGAAAATGGCGCAAACCAAATCTACCGTGATGTAGTGGATTGGCTTCCTACTGTAACGTCAAAGGATGCGGTAAAAAATAACATATTTTGTCGAGAATTTATTGACGCTTAAGGGTCGCAAAGTAAAAAGTAAATAACAGAAAGTACACATTTGCGATCGCACGTCGCATATTGGACTTATTTTGACAATTTCGACTGTTATTGAGACTATTTAAATTGGATTTCATCCTAAATAGTGTATTCCTGACATGGGGTCAATTTTAAGCAAAGATTTGCGATTTGATAGCGGGAAAGATAGAGAGAATAATACACTGGTGTGCGGAAATACCAGATTTATTTCGAGTGTTAAAAATGTATCTCACGAGCGCAGCGAACGAGTGAGTTATCATGTCCAACAGAGAAATAAATCTGGTATTTCCAAGCACCCATGTATTTTTCTGTTTATTATATAAACAAAATTAGGTGAAAAACAATAAAACGTCCGTGGCAATGCATTTTACAACAAATGATATTTTAATAGTTTTGTTTGCGGAAATGATATTTTCACACGTAAAAATATCGTATTTTTTACGTGTGTTTAAATACGATTTTTCTCATTGGCCAAAAACTCTATATAACACTTATGTTTATATAATAAATTCTTTTGCCGAGTGCTTAATGACTATTGATAAATTTTACGACACCATAATATGTCTATATATATATATTATTTCAAGCAACATGATTTCTCAATTTTGACTAATACATTCGCATCTAGTGTGCGCCGGGCTTAAATGGCCATCACCACGTTATTACTGTCCGTGTCAGTCATGTCAAATTGAAAATTATTATCATTGTTCATTTCTTTAGAAACTAATTGTTTTCACAGTCAAAGAACAATAGACTAGATTAATCTTCCCTTATAAACTATTTCGCTTGTAAAAATTTCCCCCCGAGAAGACGTTTTCGGCATCAATTGTTCAATTTTAAGCCGAAAACTTTTTTGCGGTGGAAAATCTTTATAACAGAAAGAGTTAAAGAGCAATCTCAATCTAGTCCATTAATTAAGGTATGTTTGCACAATCCTTTTAGGTAAGCGAAACAGAAAATGTTGATTGCGGTTACGCTTTACTAAACTCACTTCATAGAGACATGAACAAATTTCGCTTAACAGATGGTAGTTCGGTGACTGGAATAGCCACAGCAAAGGTTTGGACCGGTATAAAGTTTTGTGGATCTACATCTGGTGTTGTTGATAACGGTGTTGTAACATCGGTCAACTGGTGCGGTATTGTTGATAACAAAATATTTCGCAATCAAATCTTGTTTAATGCCACTGCGCGTCCGGGAGATTCTGGCTCGCTTCTTGTTGACAGATCAAATAATAAAGCTATTGGACTTGTTTTTGCTGGCTCTGAGAACTATTCCATGGCGAATCACATTGCTGATGTCTTAAAGGAATTAGGGGTTCAGCTGGCATACGAAAAATAGATGCAAACAACTCTAGTTTCCAGACATGAAGATTTTGAAGACGTTGTCATTGTAACACGATAATATATCCTTTTTGATCTTTTGCACAAAATTGTGAAAATAATAAAACGATTAGCACGTTTTCTTGTGAGTAGTAGAAGTTAAATTTCAAACCAAGCATAATTCAACCTATAACGCGCTAAATAATACTTTTTGTAATGTTCATAGAATTAAATTGTTCTTAGCTTATCGATAAACTTCACATGTTTGAAATAAAGTCATTTAATGTTCATGTCAAAAAAGTTCTTTCTCGTTTTATATTTAAACATTTTTGGTAATACGAAATGACTGAAATAAGATGATATAAGCAACCTATAATGTATTTGAATTAATAAATTTTTGACGTTAGCAATGTATTAGCATTAAATGCAAATTTGCTTGTGGTTTAACATTTCCTGCAATTAGCCATTTCCCAATGGAGCAGAGGACTGGGTCTACTCGCTTGTTCGGGGAGACAAAAAATAAACAAAAAAATAAGCTGAATATGGCATCCAAGAAGTTTTCCTACATTCCTAAAGTTATCCGTGCAGCCTGAAACGCAAAAAATATAATAAGGCATCTTTTAGTATATATTTAGCTCGCTAACTATTACTTGTTGTCCATCCAAACATCAACTAGACCCAGTCCTCTGCTCGATTGGGAAACTGGCTAATATATTGCCTCCAATCCTTTGCTTTTTGGAAAAGCAAATAGACTGCTTGATAGACTGCAAATAGACTGCACGTTTTTCTCAAATCCCTCTCATTACCACTGCTGACTACATCTTTGACATCAGTATACGTAGTAAATCCAGTCGTTGTGTCACTGTGACCGAACGGAGTCCCTCATCCACCTTTTTACTGACTGTCCATTTGCTATTCAACTTATTGATTAGTATTTTTCTGTCTATAAACGTTTCCGACCACAGTCCCAACGTCCTTCTAAATGTGATCTTCTTTTTGGTTATGGCAAGAATGTAAAGGTACCTCCCGTATTTCCATGTTTGTTGGGAATTATTCGCCACCACATTTGGTTAACCAGGAATAAAGCCAGGTTTGATCAGGTGACACCGCATTACCCTACAGTCCTATCGCGTGTCAAGTCTGCCTTACGGTGTGTGATCCGTGTTCAGCAGCGTCATTGTTTGCCGGCCAATTTCTCCGATTTCTGGTTGGCGAGTGGTGGTGTCGGCAGTTTGTCCGCTGGGGACATTATTGTTTTTGCGGCGTTGTTTCGCGATTAATGTGTCTAAATGTTTCTCGGAGGCGCGGTGGTCGCCTTCATTAGTTGCTACTGCCGTTGTCTTTTGAGATGTGTTTGTATCTATCTCACTGGGCACGGTGATCGCCTTCATTGGTGTTGTCTTCGTTGTCCTTTGAGTTGTATTAGTACTCTTGTCCGTCAATGTTTTCAAACTTCGGCCTTTTTGGCTGTTGTTTATGATGTTTTAATTGTGTTATTTTGTTGATATGTCATGTGGCTTGTAATGTCGTTTTGTTTTGTTTTTTGTTTTTTGTTTTGTTTTGTTTTGTTTTGTTTTGTTTTGTTTTGTTTTGTTTTGTTTTGTTTTGTTTTGTTTTGTTTTGTTTTGTTTTGTTTTGTTTTGTTTTGTTTTGTTTTGTTTTGTTTTGTTTTGTTTTGTTTTGTTTTGTTTTGTTTTGTTTGTGTTTTAATAGGCGCAGTGGTCTCCTTTATTGGTGTACTCCTGTGGCCTCCTTTTGAATTAATGTTGGCCTGTGGTTTGTTCCGAACTTTGTTCGGATAGGTTGCACAGGTATCTGGTAGACTCGGGGGGTTGTTCATGATGATTCAAACTCAGTTAACATCATTCCCGTCCATCCACTATCATAGGATGATAGCAATCAGGCGTCAATATAAACGTCCTTGTGTTCCACTAAAGTATTTAATTTCGCGCTTTGAATGTTATCCCCTCCAATTGTATGACAATCATCTGACCAGTTTTTATCGTGGGCAGATATTGCGATGGTAACGGGGCCTCGCCCATGCCAGGCTCAGGAAAAACCCGTTCACACCAGTGATGATCGAGGCCCAGGCCAGGCCAAGGCCAGGTCCAGGCCACCTACATTTGCTGGCCTGGATTTCTTGACTTAGGCCAGGCCTAGGCCAGGCTCAGGCCAGGTAAAACCCGTTCAC